GCATACAAGACACGGCGAGGTTAACGACATTATCAAGAGAAGCCTTACTATGGCTGGTTGTCCAGCAGAGAGAGAGCCCCGTTACCTAATGCCCCGCAACTCTGATGAGCCTGTTGGTCGCCTAGACGGGATCACTGTGAACCCCTGGAAGAATGGTAAACAGTTGGTGTGGGACTACACTTACATTTCAACTTTAGCCAACACCTATGTTGCCTTCAGTGCTGCACAGGCAGGAGGTGCTGCCAGTCACCGGGAAGCAGCCAAGTCATGTAAATACAGAGACCTTGATCACCACTTCAATTTTGTCCCCATTGCCTCAGAGACACTTGGTGCCTGGGGTAATAGTTCTGCTAGTTTTTTGAAGGAGCTGGGGTCCAAGCTAATTGAAACTACTAGACTCCCTAGAGCCGCCAGTTTTCTCTTTCAGCGCCTTAGTGTGGCGATCCAGAGAGGAAATGCTCACTGCATCCATGGTTCCTACGCGCCATCTGAGAAGCTGGAGGAGCTCTACAACTTGTGACAAGTAGCCTTGTACCGTGCATGTAACCAATTTTTTTAACCCTTTTTGTGTAATGAAATTTAAAATAAAATTAGATATATATACACACACACTAAAAGAATAGGAGTGGTAGGAGAAGAAAATATCAAAGTGTTCATTACCTAGTGAACAGCTTCATTAGTGTTAATTTCAGAGGTATACTGACAGAGTCTGAGATTGTTTTTAATATTTTTATTTAAACACTGTTCTCAGAGCGAACACATCATATATAAAAGTTTGGCAGAGCAACCATAAGTCACTGGCCAACACTACTACAAAACTACAAGTGATTGAACTAGGATGCAACAAGCAATAAATCATGTCTTTGGTAGGTAATACAAAATATTTATTATGTAAAACATTAAATTGAATAGGAGAATTCAGACGTTCAAAAGTTTTTAATGTATATCAATATAAAAGTTTTGTCACATGATACAAATTTTTTTTTTAAGTATTATGTTTTTTCTTTAAATATAAAAAAACATAAAGAATACGGCCAATAAACTCTGAACTGTTAATCAACTTCATAATACAAAATCCTAGAAAAACAAACAAATACATGAGAGCGAAGGTCAATACTGAAGAATTAGGGTGATTAGAGTCAAAGTAGCTAGCCGGAAATGCCTATTAAAGCTGTGAGAGAGGTTTCTCTGGACAAATTACTGCATCAGCGACTTAGTTTAAAAAAAAGAGCCTAATTGGTGATGGTGTTGATGAAGAGAGCTGGTGAGAGGAGAGTCGAAGCAGGAAATGGCAACTTTCCTGTCAGGACTGACGTAAGTTGTGAAATTCTACCGCAAAAAAACAGGCGTCACCTAAATCCTAATTACGTATATGCGTACGTGTGTATTTGTATGTGTGTGTGTGTGTGTGTGTGTGTGTGTGTGTGTGTGTGTGTGTGTGTGTGTGTGTGTGTGTGTGTGTGTGTGTGTGTGTGTGTGTGTGTGTGTGTGTGTGTGTGTGTGTGTGTGTGTGTGTGTGTGTTTACTAGTTGTATTTTTGCGGGGGTTGAGCTTTGCTCTTTGCTCTTTGCTCTTTATGTGTGTGTGTGTACTCACCTATTTGTGCTTGCGGGGGTTGAGCTTTGGCTCTTTGGTCCCGCCTCTCAACTGTCAATCAACTGGTGTACGTAATCCTGAGCCTACTGGGGTCTATCATATCGACATTTAAAGCTGTGTATGAAGTCAGCCTCCACCACATCACTGCCTAATGCATTCCATCCGTTAACTACTCTGACACTGAAAAAGTTCCTTCTAACGTCCCTGTGGCTCATGTGGGTACTCAGTTGAAGCGTGTGTGTATGTGTGTATTCACCTAGTTGTGTTTGCAGGGGTTGAGCTTTGCTCTTTCGGCCCGCCTCTCAACTGTCAATCAAATGTTTACTAACTACTTTCCCCCCCCCCTCCACACACACACACATACACACACACACCAGGAAGCAGCCCGTGACAGCTGACTAACTCCCAGGTACCTATTTACTGCTAGGTAACAGGGGCATTCAGCGTGAAAGAAACTTTGCCCATTTGTTTCTGCCTGGTACGGGAATAGAACCCGCGCCACAGAATTACGAGTCCTGCGCGCTATCCACCAGGCTACCAGGCCCCCCCTGGTTTTGTGTGTGTGTGTGTGTGTGTGTGTGTGTGTGTGTGTGTGTGTGTGTGTGTGTGTGTGTGTGTGTGTGTGTGTGTGTGCGTTCGTGTGTGTGTGTGTGGAAAAAATAATAGTAGAAACAGTTGATTGACAGTTGAGAGGCGGACCGAAAGAGCAAAGCTCAACCCCCGCAAGCACAACTAGGTGAATACACACACACACACACACACACACACACACACACACACACACACACACACACACACACACACACACACACACACACACACACACACACACACACATACGGGGCCGGCCGGCCGAGCGAACAGCACGCTATACACGTGATCCTGTGGTCCCGGGTTCGATCCCGGGCGCCGACGAGAAGCATTGGGCAGAGTTTCTTTCACCCTATGCCCCTGTTACCTAGCAGCAAATAACTGAAGGCTAGAAAAGCGGGATCAAAGAGCCAACGATCCTACACAAATAGTGCGTGAGAACACACACACACATACTTAGGAAATAGCCCGTAGCAGTTGTTTTTCTCCCAAGTGCCTATTTACTGCTAGGTGAACCATCAGGGTGAAAGAAACTCTGGTTTTACATCTTTGCCTCAGCCTGGAATCGAACTCGGATCCTCAGGACTACGACCCCCGAACGCTGTCAAATCTGCCGTGTGGCCCCAGTGTGTGTGTGTGTGTGTATGTGTGTGTGTGTGTGTGTGTGTGTGTGTGTGTGTGTGTGTGTGTGTGTGTGTGTGTGTGTGTGTGTGTGTGTGTGTGTGTGTGTAGTTACTTTGTTTGGGCGTGAACCCACTCTTTGACTTCGGCCATGAACCCTTTTTTGGGACCTTCCGGCCCACTCGTTGCAGTGGCCTTGCGGCATGTTTCATGTTTAGCCTTTCGACTATTCCGGAAAATTCGAGTATACATGGGATATATGTAGTATTTGATCATTGCCCAGGATGCCACCCACAACAGTCGACTAACACCTTACCTCACACCCTGGTGTGTGTGTGTGTGTGTGTGTGTGTGTGTGTGTGTGTGTGTGTGTGTGTGTACTCACCTAGTTGTACTCACCTAGTTGTGTTTGCGGGGGTTGAGCTCTGGCTCTTTGGTCCCGCCTCTCAATCGTCAATCAACTGATGTACAGATTCCTGAGCCTACTGGGCTCTGTCATATCTACATTTGAAACTGTGTATGGAGTCAGCCTCCACCACATCACTTCTTAGTGCATTCCATTTACTAACTACTCTGACACTGAAAAAGTTCTTTCTAATGTCTCTGTGGCTCATTTGGGTACTCAGCTTCCACCTGTGTCCCCTTGTTCGCGTCCCTCCAGTGTTGAATAATTCATCCTTGTTTACCCGGTCGATTCCCCTGTGTGTGTGTGTGTGTGCGCGCTCAATATGTGTGTTAAGTAGTGTTTTTTTACGGATATACAAATATCATCATTATTCCGCTAATGTGGAGTGAGTAGGATTTTTCTCGGATAAGTTAGGAAAGTAACAAAGAAAATATTTTATTAATATTAAAAATATGTCATGCAAAACCTAATTATTTAAACTAGATTGCACACTGCATCATCACGGGCACCCACCACCTCAACACTCCAGCAGATGTTCAAATAGTAGCATTTCCACTGGTTCATGAACTAGGTGTAAAGTGCTCATCGTGAATTGTCAAAATTCTTCTGCTCAACTGTTTACTTGTCTACGTGCACTGTTTAAATTATAAATTAAGCATACATAAGGTATTGGGTATGACAGAAAAGGTGAGATCAGTGACTCTAGCAAGATTCTTTTGTTTTGCACTTCAGAAGAAGAAAATAATTAACTCTTTAAGGTTTATTATACACTTTTTCATGACCTGACGCAGAGATGCGTTTCGTGCTCCTGTCAAAATGTCCAAAAGCAGAGTACAAGTGGATACAATTTTGCTGTTATTGTTTTAGATTCAGTTTCTCTGAACAAAAAGTTCCAAGCAGCACGGACTATGGTGACCCCGTAGTGAACTTACCTAGCACAGGAACGGGGGATGTAACAATTTTGCTAGAGCATCCGAATATATAATCGAGAGATAGGTGAAGCACCTCACTATGTGCCAATAAGCCCTCTTCAGCTTACCCATATCCTGTGTTCCAATGATGTTGTATGTTTCGTCTTGGCCTTAAAGATGGCAGAGTGTAAAGGTTTTAGCAGTCTGTTAGTAGTTGTTGACTAGGTTTGTCTCAGGTGCAGTGCTTGACCAGAGTCCAATCTTTTATTGTCATTGTATCTGTCGACGATTTTCGAGTTGATTGTCAGAATATCTCTAGTGATGATTGGGAATCTTGACACACTACAACAATAAAAGAATTGACATTGGTGAGGCACTTCACATCACGCATCTTGTACTCTGCCTTTGAAAATGTTGACAGGGTCAATGAAACGCTTCTCTTGCCGTCATGCCAAAATAAAACTTAAAAATTTAAGTCGAAGGGTAAATTTTTCAGTTCTCTCTAAAGAGAAAAAATCAAATAAATTCGTATTAGAATCATTGATCTCACACTTTCTGTCATATTCAATATTCAAGAACATATGCCTACAAGAAAGACTGGATATATATATATATATATATATATATATATATATATATATATATATATATATATATATATATATATATATATATTAACATATACTCATTTGCTACCCGAATTACATATAAAACTTAGTTAAGGTTAGGCTCCAAAGTCATTATTGTACATATTAAACACTGCATAAGGATTTGAAACGTATATGAATATATATATATATATATATATATATATATATATATATATATATATATATATATATATATATATATATATATATATATATATATATATATATATTTAAAGCTTATATTAAAAGTGTCAAAAACAATATTTTTGCATTAAAGTTGGTCTAAACGCCGTTCTGGGAAAACCACACGTAACACACACACTCAAATACAAATTCAAACACATACTGAAACGCTCACACTCACAAACAAATTCAAACACGTACTCAAATGCACACACTCAAATACACACACACATACACACACTCACACACACATACACACACACACACACACACACACACACACACACACACACACACACACACACACACACACACACACACACACACACACACACACACACACACACACACACACACACACACGTTTCCTTACAAAGAGAGCCTTGTCATATTTTCACCCGTATTCGGGTATTTTGTTCATTCACAATTATTGTGAACCGTTTGTATCACATATGTATGTTAATATTACTATAGAATATTAAATTATTTGTCTTAATATGAAATATTTAACCGCTGAAGGTCTTGCATAATCTTGTTGATGCTGTCGATTCATGTGGTATTACATAATCATTAAGAGTTTCACAAACAAAAAATATGACTAAACCGGTTTCCCAATGATGGACTCCACAGAGAAGGAAATGACAGCTTTCCTGGGTGTTGGGCAGGTGGTGTGAGCTTGTGAGCGGTCTGACGGAGAGTGTCTTGACACCGGCAGCGGGCGGGACTGGTTAGTAGTGCGTGAGCAACTGTTATCCCCCGGCAACACACACTGGGAAGAGGGAAATATTGCTGAAGGCGGGGACTTGTGAGTGGGAGGAGTTGGGGAGGTTGGCAAGAATTCAGGATTCCTTAGCAATGAAATGGCCGGGTAAAAAACCGACACCTCAGTCTCGCATGGGAGAGTTGCAGTAGTTGTGGAGGTCACAGTTCTTCCCGATGGGGATAAGGATAAATTAGCCTCAAACTTTTGGCTGTTAAACCGATCTGATGAAGGATTTTCTGTACCTGTCTGATCCTGAGGGCTAGGTGTGAGAGGAGGACGTGTGGGCGGTGAGGAGCATGATGAAGAGGGCGATTCTCGGCTTGTGTCCCGACCAACAACTGTAAATGCTGAGCCAGATGAAGCTGAAAAGAGAGGATGCGTAGTGGTCGGGGAGGTGGACGGCAGGGAAATTGATGGGGAAGTGGACGCCGCGGCAGCCAAGGATAATTGAAGGAAGCGTGATGGAAGCTCGTGAACTAAATGCATCCCTCCAGAGACACTCCCACAAACGTCGTGGGCGGCGCGACTAAGGACCGGCTGGCTGACTGTAGGCGGAGGGGTGGCCAGGTATTGTAGTGCTCTCTCCCTGTCACCCCCACAAGCCTCAATGACCAGCTGCAGAAGCGCTTGTGCTGGCTGTGGGTGTAGCCTCAATGCCTCTTGGAGATGGACTGGCAGGAGAGCAACATGTGCCACCCATTCTGGAGGAATGTGGTTGGGATGAGTGGTCAGCTGGGCGGCCTGAGCTAGTATGGATTCACGTTGCAACATGACGTTTTCTAGATCGCGATCAGCAAAAGCCCGCCGTTTCCGTTGTCTCTCGCTGAGGTATGGAGGGACACGCCACTCTCGCCCCAGGCGCTGCCGGAGATCTGCCGGAGAGTAAACATAGCTCCTTTAAATTATGGCTTGTCTTCATTAAATAGGATTATTATTATAAAATTCTTTGGAATTGTTAAAATAAATTAAATGCAAATGCGAACTTATATAGTTATGTTGTACTTATTATAAAATAAACTATCAACATAAACCTTGAGAGGAATTATAACTATAGAGGAAATATACCTGACACCAGATCACAGCTTTCACAAATGATTAACTCTCGCATATTGTATCAATGGTGAAATCTTCTAACTTACATGCTCCTGCGCTAATAATAAGTTACACTGAACAGGAATATTGTTAACCACTATATAATTACATTCCTTGCAATAATTTATTTATATTTATTAATTGTTTGGAGTTCTTCATTGAACTTGAAGGCTTAAATTTGTCACGTGAGTAAACAGTGCAATAAAATCCTGACCAATCATTAAGCTATATTTGGGCTTCGCTATTGTCTGTCGTAAGCTTTTAAAAATGTTCAGTTTAGATTATATCATATGCCCTACTCAGGATTTTTGTTCTCACACCTATTAAATTTTTTGGGTAAATTGTTCTTCATTGTTATAGTCGTAATTGCTTGGCGCTTTCTCCTGATAGTTCCCTTCCCTTCCCTTCATTGTTGTTGAATTATTTGAAGAATAACATTTTACATTATCAATAAATACAAAAACACATATTGAAAACTATTTGCCCTATAGTTTCTAGTATGTATTTACTATTTGAGCCGGCAGAGTCGAGCTATTAGCTCTTGGACCCCGCCTTTCTAACCAATCCATTTTTCCTCTATTAAGACTCCTACTACATATATTTCTAACACCAAGAGTTTTAAGATATTTAAAACTGAAGGCTGTCTGGAATATAGCATTGACTTCATTATGAACAGGGTCTGGAAAACTTATTTGTTGGCGGTGTGTGTTTGTTGGAGGTAATGGTTAGCGAGACTGCTGTGCACCAGGATGCTAGTGTTCATATTAAGAAGCATCAGAAAAACAAGCACGAATGTCATCCTTCTGCAGCATCCACAGAAAATTCCTACTATTACCGATTAATTGTCTCACTGTGCACTAGGATGAAACAAAGAATAAAGGGGGGATATAAGTAAGGTTCTCAGGTGGGACACTAGAGTAAACATGGGGATATAAACAGGCTTCTGTAACGGTCGGAATTGGTTAAAACCACAACAATGGCGGTACATGATAACAAAAAAAAAAAAAAACGCTCGTTGGAAATAGGATTGGGGATGAATTGAATAGACTCTCAGCTAGCACTATTGAAACAAGTACTTTAACAGGTTTAAGGATTATACAATATAGATATGTAGATGAGAAGATTTGGATTTAAACTGAACCCGTCTAATACGGGCCAACAGGTTTGCTGTGGTGTTCCATAATTCTTTGACTTTTAAATTATTTAAAAGTGTTTCGCTCTATCTTGGTGGTTGCGTGGAAATGTATATGTATCAACATTAGTAGGGTTTGCTTGTGAGCCTCAGAAGGTGATGGTTGGAGATTTGAAGGTGCAGTCTGTAAAGCTGGGATCATGCACCTCTGCCTGTTGACCTAGGTAATCAGGTAAGATTTCATTCGCCAGGTTGTCAGGTATTGGTATGGGAACCCTTTATTGATTTATTAATTATTTCCATCCAGCGCCACTTATATATATTATCAAGTGTTTTGTTTTGTACAGTTATCCATATATGTCTCTTTCCTCTGCCTATTTCGTCCCCTTTTATCCGTAGGTTTCATCCCCTACCTTGGTGGTCAGGTGACCTACCCTGGCGGATATAAGGCCTGCCTACCACGATCCTTCAAAGTGGAAGCCTCCTCCATGGAAGAATCGAGTCTAAAGATAATCATTGAAGGATTTCCAGTTAAAAAAATCAGCATGTGACTCACAGAGGCTCAAAGCAGTCATAAAACAACAAATGGAAACCATCTCAAGACCAACAACGACTCACATCTTCACAGACGGATCAGTTGATCAAGAAAAAGGTTTTGCCGGGGCAGTAGTTTACACTAACAACCACGAAGCTTACTGGAGCATGAATAGTGGGTGCTTAACATTGCAAAAAGAATTATATGCCTTGAAGAAGGCTATAAACTATAAACTGAGAATAATTTACATTATTCATACCGACTCTAAATCTTCGCTCCAGGCATTGTTATCTAGTCAGCACAGAGATAATATTTAAGGAGATTAAGGAGCAAATCAAGAAGAAAATACACCCAACTATCAAAAGTCGCCACAAGCTTAAGTAGCGGAAGGAAGATCTACTACGATATGGTACGAACAAGCCACTGGGTACTACTCTTTCAAGCTTAACAAAAAGATATCCAGAGACAATGCACTAGCTATAGTGTACCCTATATGACCTAGTGCACATGACCCTAGTGTACATGACCTTAGTGTACATGACCGTGGTGTACATGACCCTAGTGAACATGGCCCTAGTGTACATGACCATGGTGTACATGACCAAGGTGTACATGACCGTGGTGTACATGATCCTAGTGTACATTGCCCTAATGTACATGACCTTAGTGTACATGACCATGGTGTACATGACCTTAGTGTACATGACCATGATGTACATGACCTTAGTGTACATGACCATGATGTACATGACCCAAGTGTACATGACCTTAGTGTAAATGATCACAGTGTACATAACCAAGGTGTACATGACCATGGTGTACATGACTATATTGTACATGACCGTGGTGTACATGACCATGGTGTACATGACCTTAGTGTACATGACCGTGGTGTACATGACCATAGTGTACATGACTATGGTGTACATGACCGTGGTGTACATGACCATGGTGTACATGACCTTAGTGTACATGACCGTGATGTACATGACCATGGTGCACATGACTATGGTGTACATGACCGTGGTGTACATGACTATGGTGTACATGACCGTGGTGTACATGACTATGGAGTATATGACAGTTGTGAACATGACCGTGGTGTACATGACCGTGGTGTACATGACCTTAGTGTACATGACCGTGGTGTACATGACCATGGTGTATATGACCGTTGTGAACATGACCGTGGTGTATATGACCATAGTGTACATGACCATGGTGTACATGACCATGGTGTACATGACCATGGTGTACATGACCATGGTGTACATGACTATGGTGTACAAGACCGTGGCGTACATGACCGTGGTGTACATGACCGTGGTGTACATGACCATGGCCATTTGAGGGGCCTCGTAGCCTGGTGGATAGCGCGCAGGACTCGTAATTCTGTGGCACGGGTTCGATTCCCGCACGAGGCAGAAACAAATGGGCAAAAGTTTCTTTCATCCTGAATGCCCCTGTTACCTAGCAGTAAATAGGTACGTGGGTGTTAGTCAGCTGTCACGGGCTGCTTCCTGGGGGTGGAGGCCTGGTCGAGGACCGGGCCGCGGGGACACTAAAGCCCCGAAATCATCTCAAGATATCCTCAAGATGGTATACATGACTATGGTGTACATGACTATGGTGTACATGACCGTGGTGTACATGACCGTGGTGTACATGACCATGGTGTACATGACTATGGTGTACATTACCATGGTGTACATGACCGTGGTGTACATGCCCGTTGTGTACATGACCAAGGAGTACATGACCATGAGTGTACATGACCATGGTGTACATGACCATGGTGTACATAACCATGGTGTACATGACCTTAGTGTACATGACCATGGTGTACATGACCGTGGTGTACATGACCATGGTGTACATGACCTTAGTGTACATGACCGTGGTGTACATGACCATGTTGTACATGACTATGGCGTACATGACCGTGGTGTACATGACCGTTGTGTACATGACCATGGTGTACATGACCATGGTGTACATGACTATGGTGTACATGATCATGGTGTACATGACCTTAGTGTACATGACCATGGTGTATATGACCCTAGTGTACATGACCCTAGTGTGCATGACCATGGCGTACATGACCGTGGTGTACATGACCATGGTGTACATGACTATGGTGTACATGACCATGGTGTACATGACCGTGGTGTACATGACCATGGTGTACATGACCATGGTGTACATGACCATGATGTACATGACCGTGGTGTACATGACCATGGTGAACATGACCATGGTGTACATGACCGTGGTGTACACGACCATGGTGTACATGACCATGGTGTACATGACCGTGGTGTACATGACCATGGTGTACATGACTATGGTGTACATGACCGTGGTGTACTTGACCATGGTGTACATGACTATGGTGTACATGACCGTGGTGTACTTGACCATGGTGTACATGACTATGGTGTACACGACCGTGGTGCACATGACCGTGGTGTTCATGACCGTGGTGTACATGACCGTGGTGTACATGACCATGGTGCATATGGCCATGGTGTACATGACTGTAGTGTACATGACCGTGGTGTACATGACCGTGGTGTACACGACCTAATGAATATGACCTAGATATTCATGGTTTGATTATACACGGCAAGATATTAGGAAGTTATCGGGTGACTAAGAAAATGCATGATTTATGCAAGGCAAGACGTGTATTGAGACGTGTGGAAGGTCAGATGTGTACATGACCTTTGGAGTCAAAGCTTACATATCTGTTACATTGGTTTGTATTGATAGTGGTTTACATGATAGGTGATAGGCATGACAGGTGGTGCACATGGCAGGTTGTGCCCATGACGAGTGGTGCCAATGACAGGTGGCGCCCATGACAGGTGGCATTCGTACAATTGAGTTAGCATACTGAAGTAAATGTTACGATAACAAATCCTTCAGCACTGGTTTTCATATATTGTATTACACTCTTATACATTGTAAGCATAGTCCACAATATAATTATCCTCTATATAATTATCCAATGGGGAGCCGGTCGGCCGAGCGGACAGCACGCTGGACTTGTGATCCTGTGGTCCTGGGTTCGATCCCAGGCGCCGGCGAGAAACAATGGGCAGAGTTTC